CTCCTGCGATCGCGCGTACCAATACAATACAACGAGACGAGAGAGAAGCACCCTCTGTTCTGGATGGAAAGGACACTTCGTACAAGGAAGATGCGAACCGGCTTGAGGCCTACATTAGGACTACAATACGCAAATGAGTGGATGTAGCGTTATTGTAGGCTTCACGGTGTCTAGGATTTCTCTTGATCGAGGTGAGTAGACTTTGCCGGAAACGCTATCATCCTACATGCATAGTAGGTGTGGGAAGCGCTGTGGATATCCGTCATGCTCATTCGCTGCGTCCACTGGTCATACTCCGCGAATATCAGGGTGCTGGATCGGCTCCAGGGTGGGAAGACAGAGGGCCAGGGCAATCGTCGCATACTCCTTGGAATTATTCTCGGAGCAAGGTCCACACATCCAAGGCTTGGATGCCACGCAACACACTAGACGGATTCCCATTTAGGGACCTATTCTGCGATTGTTAGACAGTACCAAGTCTCCGCAGCTTATAGACCAATGTATAACCTATGCTTCTACATCCCATTCCCTTGACACCCAAATAAGAAGACTTTCTCTCTCTACACATATAGTTATTCTGTTATCTTCTGAGCTCTAGAACTGTATAGTCATGGAGCCACTACCTGATGAGTTTATAGTACAGAACTCAAGCACTTTCTTCATCCATACGCTACCCTCGTCATGAATCTCCGCGACTGTGAGTGGCATAATACGGAAAGGATGTCTGCTGCCTTGTGCTATACATTGCGCCTTTTCCTCCCGAAAGGCGTTTCCATGAAGGGCTACCACACTCTCATCGACAGATATAACCAGTCAATGGATTGGCAGCAACAACTTCAGATCCTGTAGAGGTCGTGAAGACTCGCAACTCCTCTGTCTCGATGCCAGCATGATAGCAACACTTGATTCATCTCCGACCGCGTCAGCTATCATACTACGTTCAGAAACACGGGGATTAAGGTTTATGGGACCAATCATGCCTTTTACAATGGTCATTTGTTCTCTTGTCATTCATGCGTCAGACAAACAGTATCGAACAGCGGTAGCATTTGCGAAGCGGTCGTTGCGAGAGTCTTCGAAAGAACAATGTTTGGTTAGACATACGTTGGCGGACTTGGAAAAGCGATCCATTCGTCAAAAGACTTGAATTATCCAGTCGAAGATTTACCGAGGCAGCTAGTAGTGAGGCTGGACTCAACGTCGAGAGAGTTCGGTTACATTTTTACTACTTCGATCTCGCTTTCTAACACACGCTCATCATGAATGGCATGTAGCTGCCGCGTCTTGTGGTGTTGCAGGCTAGTGATCAAGTTTCATTGAAGCGTATGGCCTCGTGAGATATGTGGTAGACTTCATTTCATGATGTTGTTGGATGGTGTGAGAATATCGCGGTCTTCGCATCCTAAGTAGATTGGGTACATCATTTAGGTCCCAATAGTCATCTTATCACTGTGGCTAAGTGGGACACTCCGGCACCTACAACTAGTCCACCCACACGTCGTTCAAAAGCCACTGCTGTCCAGCCCATTGCTCTTTCACGACCGGCCAGATCAGATCTGGTGGCAGGACAAACCCGCCACCCGCCTGGTCTTGAGGACTCAGCTCCATCGTCCATGAGTGGTTTGCGCCATGCACAGCATAGTGGTGGTCTCTCGAGTTACCGGTTGAGAAGTAAAGGATCTGACATCCAGGACCGAACTCATACGTGCTGTTCTTCGTGCTAGCAGCCATGATAGCATTCGCCGTACCACCAGCAACCTCAAGCATGCGAGGAAGAGTTTCGGGCAGCGGGTCGCACGAGAAGCCATAAGGAGTGAGAATAAGCTGGCCGTACGAGTGGAAGTCGATGAATGACCGAATACCAGCGCCTGTCTGCGACAGTTGGGCTGAGAGACTGTCCATGGCTTGGTTCTCAGGCGTGTCACCTGGAGCTTCTCCGCGGTATGTTTGACCGCAAGGGTCAGGCGTCGACCCACCCTCTGGCGGCTCAGCGTCCCACTCGTATTTCCAGTTGCGGTTGCCGTCAGTACCAAGACAGGTAGTGTTGATATTTGGGCGTGGCTGGCGGTTCTTGCGCCATAGACGGTCGTTGGTTTGCGTGTACAAGAAGCCATCCGGGTTGTGGAAGGGAACTAGGTAGAAGTCGTAGTAGTCCAGGAAGGTGGTCACATTGGCATCGCCCTTCTTGTAACCGTCGATTAGTTGGTAGGCCAGGTACTCAATCACTATGACAGTCAGCTGTGTTTCACAGGAGTCGCGATGTACCTTCTTACCCATGGCCGATATCCACTCTCGGGCATGGACTGTCGCATGCCAAAGGATGACTGGCTTCTCTTCTTGCTTTCCATACCCTTTCTTCTCGTCTCCATAAAGATGGAATGCCCAGATGGTCCGGTTCTCGTAGCTCTTTCCGATTGAAAACTTTCCCGAGTTCTTGGGGAATGCCTTGACTAGATCGTCCCAGTATTGGAGATGGTCGGCATACGGATGATAGGTGTCAAACCAAGAGAGATCTGGCAACTCTCCACGCTTGTGCAGGCCCCTCTTGTATACGGCTTCCTTATCAGTCGCGCGTATGTAGTGGCCCAAGTCGGAATTGACGAGGCGAGCCTTCAGACTTAGCGCGTTGAAAGATTCGATTTCTTCTGGTGGAATAGCGATGGACAGGGTGTCGCGAATGGGATGAGTGTGGTATTGGGAGAAGCGCTTCCCGAGATCACGAGCCTCGTCAGCAGAAGACGGGGTGATGGAATAGACGTGGTAGCCATCGTAGCTGGCTTTAGCACTGCGCGTCACAGAGCTGTCGCGAGGCTGGAAGGGAGTCGCTGCAGCCAATTGAGCGGCGAGCAACACTTTCGTCCACTTCATGATGTACAAGATTCGAGTTCAGTGCTGACAAGAAGCCTCCGCGGTCAGTCCGAAGACATTATATACACATCCATCGATGCTGTCAGAACCTTATCGTGCGATGAAGGCCAAGCAAATGATGATGCAACGGTTCTAGTTCATCTCGTAGTCTGGCATAGAGATATCGCCATGACATCCGGCGCTTGGTTCCTAACGAGTATGCGGAGTGTCGTTCAACGGCAGCCAAGAAGACGCCGAGACGTTGAGGTACCTTGGATATCACCAGCTTCCTGATCTGGTCTCGCCGCCAAGGAGTGCGACATGGTACGTATCCGCCTTCCCCTCACTCCGGGTATACTGATTAAATTACGAACCATGCTCCGCGCGGTTCCTCAGTTTGCGGAGCGCTGCTATGGTACACAATTTGAAGGGACTGAGAGTAGACTCATGTTGTGCCTTGACAAACCAGTCTTACGAGGAGACTAAAAAAGATAAAGGGAGCACTTCTGGGCTTTGTGACGTCGCAGCTGCTTCGATATTGATTGATTTGAGGGTTTCGTTAAGATGCGCGTTCCTGGGTGGAGTAGCAGCAACGCTAAGCAAAAAGGACATCCGCCCACCACGTTCTTTCGTAGAAGCAACAGGCAGGCAGGTAAAAAGAAGCTGCCTATGCATCTCGTGCAAAAGCAAAAAAGAATGCTCTTGCGAGCTGCTGTGTGACCTAACCAGGGATCGCTTTTTTGGGCGTTAGCGACGGTATTCGAACGTGGGCTCTGGGAGCTACTTACAACCTGGAATCTCTTGATATCGAACGAATCGTAGTCAAGCGCCTTGCCATTGGGCCATTAGGCCAGTTGTACTGTTGATGGAGAGAAAGCCAAATTTTATATTCATAAACTCACGTTGACAGCCGGACTGTGCGATGAGCGCTAGAGCGCGGGGCTGCTCCCCATGTACAGCCAAACGTCACTAGCCCCACCATACCTCTCCTTCAATTCGACGCACGTATCTTAGGCACCTACCATGACAGCATCCATCATGGCCGTCACACACCAAAGAGGCCGCTCGCTGGCGCAAGGTAACAGCGCTATAACCTGAAAGCCGCCCTTCAAGCAGGAGCAACTTCCGCAATCCCCATGTGTGGCTTCCTTTCATCCAAGACATACATTCCTCAACCCCAACCACCAAGACCGACAATGTCTGCAAGCAACACTGAGATATACACCGCGCACTACGACAGTAACCAGTTTGTGGTCGGAGGCGGCGTCGCGATCTTTCACCTTGCGACGAGTCGTGTGGTGATATGCAGCTGCGTTCACCGAGGACGAAAGTATTACTTTCTACCCAAGGGACGACGCGACGCCGGTGAGGAGAGCGGCACAGGCGCAGAAAGAGAAGGATATGAAGAGGTACGCGACATGAACAGATGCTTGCAGCAGGATACCTACTAATCGCGCGACCAGTCGGGCTACCGTAACCGTCTTCTCCCTCTACCCACCGTGCATCGGCAACCACAAGCCCACCCACGCGTCCACGCCTCTCCACAGACCGCCGAACCAGTCTCTATGCAACTCATGCCTCTCGGTACGCGGCAATACATAATCTACTGGTATATCGCCGAGACGCTTCCTCCAAACCTCGAGACCCTGCTTGAGACGGAAGCCGGCGCAGTGTACAAACCGCCACCAGCATACCCTCAGAACCTCTCTTTACGCGACAGAATAAAACAAGAACCTGAGGGATACGAGCCAAGACACCATGAGAACACAGGGGTAGATGAACTGGAAGTCACATATGAGAGTCATCTCGTGAGTGTGGAGGAGGCAATGGAAACATTGGGGAAGGAAGGCAGTATGGGTCGCGTTATGGCGGAAGTGGTGAGGAAAGGCTGGGAGGGAATACAAAGGAGGTTCGAGATGGAGGACGCTGCTACGCACGAGAGCCCGGAGGCAGTTTGATGCGCACGAAAAGACGCGACGAAGGAATGAATCCAGGAAGATTCCTTCGGGTTGGAGAACTGCTATAGCGATAGTGTCACTCGTATCCACGGTCTTCGCCCGCAGTCAACTAGAGCTTAACAAGTGAAATGTCCAACACTACGAATTACGCGATCGAAAGTCCCTTCAGAATCATAAAATCACTCCCTATCACATCAACCCCATCCTCCAGCCACACCCACCACGTGTCTTCGCTACCGCAGCACCTCCCCCGTCCAACAAACCTCGCTTCAGCAGAGCAATCTACCTCACCCCACAACGTCATGCGCGTGTTATCAGCATTAAATGAAGCAACCCCGCCCCGCGCACGCGATAACCGTTTTCTCAAAGCGTGGTAGCGACGGAGCATTTTCTCGAGCCAGGTAGCAAGAAACCTGCTCGCGCCGGCTCTTCTTATATTGCATTGCCCCATCCGTGCGCGAGCACGGCGTATATTCGCATGCGGCGGGGACGCACAGATGGCGACGGGGTGTTTTCTTCATTTGCCGTGTGTCGCACATGAAGGATGTCTATGGGTTGTGATTTTAAGGACGATAATGGAGGGTCTACGTGATGTGCGGTGTGTAAGTAGGCAGAAACTCTGGGCCTCGACAGCATTCGTTGCGGGTGGAACTGGTCAAGCGACCAAGGCCCCTGCTATGTTCTTTCATCCTCGTGGGCAATCCTTCAATATTAGCCAAGCGTCATACGAACGTCAATGATCATGAGCATCTGACAAAGACGTTATAAATTTTCCGAGGCGCAGCAGTAGGGCTGTGGTTGAGTGGAAGCGTTATCTGCGCATGTGAAGGCTCGGGAGGTGCACGGATGGGGAATGCAGACGTTGGAGATGCAGGACGGCTCGTGTTGAAGGTCAGGTCTGGATCCTGAGGGAGCTGTGTGAGTCGATGGGGGTCTAGAGGCGGGGTTTGATGAAGAGCCGGTCGCTGAGGAGGTGTAGTGATAGAAGGGGTGTTATGATATTTTTCCAAGACGGGTAAGTCGGTTCTTCCAATCATACTTCTACCAGTTCTTTTGTGTACGAGATACGACTTTCGATTCTAGTACGGTATGACGAATTCCGGACGCATGCAGGAATCGTTTGCGATCGTTGGAAGTGTAGGAGTGGACAAGCCGCCGTTCGAGATGCATTTTTGGAAGACTGATTACGATTGGAATGTAGTGAATCTGGCTGCATGTCTATGAGGTCAATGCGAGGTGACAACATGAGGCGGGAGTAATTGCGAAAACGTCTACAGGGTCGATGCGTTGCTCCGGATCCTTCTGAGGAAGATGCAAAGGTACGTAACTGCCCGATACCGTGGTGATGTGCGTTGGTAGTAGGTTTTGGTGAAGTACCCGGTCACAGGTGGCTGCAGCTACACCAGCTCAAGATCGGGATCTATCACCCTTGCCAGCTGCAAGCTGGACTTGCTCGGATACCTCTCTGGCATTTTGGGCTACGTATCTCTGAGATGATGGCGTTTGTTGAGATCCAGTCAGTGGAGTTGACACTGCCCATACGTAAGCGACGCAGACGGACATACGTACCCCGTCAGCACGATGTACATCTACAAGCATCGCGACGCGGAAGTCTTGTCCAGACTTGAAGGACGATCGACATATCCGTCCGCTCAGCTGCAAGCCTTCCGTTCTTTTCATGCACGGTATTCAGCCGCGATCTGGTGTTCGCGCACCTTCGGATCTCCTCACACCGTCCGAATTGCAGTAGAGCTACAGCGACTGGAGGAGCGCTGTGCAGTGCAGCATGAAGGTGCGCCAGTATCGATGCCTATGGATGAACTACAGCGACTTGTTGAGTACAAATGAGGCGCTTTGAAACAACCGGGCCGTTGTATCTCCCAGCGCTCCCGTACACGGGAAGGCGCACTAGAAACGCATAGCGCGCGGGTCGCAAACGCCGAAGGCTTACGGTCGCTGAGGTATCATAAGAAGATACCGAATAAGAGTACGCGGAATTGATCCTATACGAGGGTTTCAGATAAGCGTTCGTGATGGGGGAGTTTGTTCGCTCGGCGGACGCGCGTCGTAGTCGTTGGGCTGCGGCGGGAGCAGGTTACTCACAGCCAGCCGTCGAGCGAAGGCGGATGGGAGATGTTGCTGATGCAGTATCGTCCCGTCGATATACGCATGTTGTGTGTAAGGGTGTGCGACAGGTGTCCAGATCGCAGCAAGGGGCATGAGATTCACGTTTTGACGAGAACGCTAATGTAAGCTGACCACCAGGACCAGGGTATGTCATGTCAGGAAAGAGCGATGAAAATCGAATCGTTGTTAACTTGTCATGAGTTCTGAGGTGGTAGAGATATGTACACCATCAGTCAAAATAGACGCCTTGAACACCAAACAAGCATCGCCGTGCTCGTGAAAGAACCGTTGTGGTGACGTGATAACATTGATAGTTAGCCCGAAGGCGCGCCCGACCACATGAATATTTTGTCTTCGTGCCTGCTCCACAGGATAAGATACAAGGAGTGTAAAAAGAGACCAGATCAAGCGACGATGCGGTAAAGAAAAGAAATGTAATGTATACAGCGAAGTAGTAGATGCAAGCATGTCCTCATTAGATCCAACATTGGTCCTTCCAAACATGATAGATTGCAAGGCTAGTGATCAATGGACGAAGGGTATACCCATGTGACGAGACCAGAGATGAATAGGGAGGATACGTTTACCACGAGAAAGACTCCTCGCGGAAGTCAACGTTCCACTGGGACTCGCGATTGCGGACGGAGCGACGGAGCTCATCCGCCAATCCACCAGTACCGCAGGTGCTGACACAGGCAGCACCAATACCCTCTTGCATCTCCTGGTCGACCAAGGCTTGGACGTTGGGACGTCCAGGGAACATTTGGACACTGGAAGAGGGCGAGTGGATCTCCTTGGTGCTGCGAGGGCGAGTGACGAAGAGCAGAATCTTCAGGATCTCGCGGCGGCGTGGCATGGACAAGATCTGTGTCATCCATGTACGGATCCATTCCAAGTGCTCAGGCGATTGGATGATCCAGACGAGTGTAAGTCGGCGGGTGGCAACAGTTCCGTTGGCGTAACCAGCGACGATATCACGAACGTGGGGGACTTGGTGAGTGATACCGATACCAGCAGCCCACAGCATGACAGTTCCATAAGAGCTTAGATCTTCACCGCCTGTCATATGATGTTAGCATGGGTTGTTTAGATTGGATTAATATAAGCGATAGTGAAAAGTCCGGGGAAAAACAAGCTTCGGTACTTACCATATGGGCCCTCGACATATGCCGAAGTGGAGAATCTGCCGGAAGCAGAGAGGTCGGCTTTCTTGAACAGCTTGTCGGTAAAACCAGTTCGTCGGCGAATAATGAAAGACATGCTAGTCTTGTGGTGCTCGAGGATGTCTTGGCGGTTCATGGGAAGACCCTTCTCATCGGCGACGGACGAGGCAATGGTGAGATCTTCCTCTTCCTCACTCCAAGCGACAGAGAAGGGATGGTTGGTCCAGAGTCCGACGGAAGGAATGTACAGGTAGGCGTGCTGGCCGGGGCGGAACCTCCATGGGCGAGCCATGCGGACGGTCACACGAAGGGCGTCTCCGGGGAGAACCTCAACATCGCAACCGGTACCACCGTTTCCAACGTTGCGCGTGACGAGGCGGACGAATCTCCAGGTTCGCTCCATGACCCAGAGTGCGAGTACGCCGTAGAGCATGAACTGCTGCGGGCGCTCCTTGAGATGGACCCATACGGCGCCGAGCGCGATGGCAGCACCGACAATGTGGCCGTGCAGGAAAACCTCGTAGAAGGAGTGACGCACTGGAGATGGAGACTGGATCAGGAGGAAGACGAATGCGACAGTTCCCTGTGGATGTTAGACGTTGTTGGTACTGGCTTGGTACACGACTTACGATGAAACCTGTCATGATGAACTCGCTTCCAGTGATGGAGGCTTGTACGGCACCCCAGCCCTCTGCAAATCTGTTAGCATCGTGACGTTATGTCTAACCGGGCAAACTTACTGGTGTGGACCTTGTTGGCGATCCAGCATACAGTGTGGGCAATAGCCTCGAGGATTACGATCCGTCCGAACCAACGGTGGATGAGGTTCATGGTGTCGAATGAGATACCGGTGAGCTTAATGATGGGGTTGTTGCGACCAGCAAGCAGGAACAAGGGGATCATGTTGATGACAGCCATGATACCGGAGCGGCTGAGAAGTTCACCGGCTCCGGCTGAGAAGCTGCTGTAGTCGATCTTCCATACACAGAAGCCAACGTTGACGGCGAAGTAGCCAACTAGGAAGAAGCTTTGCAGACGGCTGGGCAGGGTTCCAACACCAATGGCGGAAGAGAGCTTGAATTCGCGGTGGTGACGGGTGCGGAACAGAGGCGCATCGAGGCAGTGCTTCTTGAAAGCTGCGTAGGTCCTGTTGGGGATGGCGAAGTATCGTTGGGTTTCGTTGTTCAAGCACGTGACGGTGCGGATGTAACGGACAAAGAAGAGGATGACTTGGTACATGAAGAAGACGACAACAATGATCCACCAGATGTATCCGAGGTAGTGCTGGACGTCGAGGTTCTCAAGACCAGCGGTCGGGTCTTCCTCTTCATGACCCGCACGCTTGGAGAAACCACTCATAGTTTGGAGGAGAGACATTGTCGTTGATAGAGCGGTAGGTGACGGGTGGGAGTCCTAGGGGAGGGGGACGCGGTCTAGAAGGTGTGCTTTAAGGATCCAGGACGGTAGGGTTGAGAGAGTGGACTCTGTCTTGGCCAGCAAACGACAGACGGGGGTAGGTGGGAAGAAGCACAACGGCACTTGTTCCGAATCGGTGATGCGGGAGTAGGCTAGAGATTCACTCGGATCGTGGCGATGATGTGGTCGTGCGTCGTGACCGGCTTCACTATAGTAGATTGGGCGGGCTGGGTTCAGGCGCAGGAGGCCAGGGTGAACGGCAGGCGCAATGCAGGCTCAGTTGACGTCGCCGGC